ATTACCCGCCGCGGGTGTGGGAGACATGGTCATGGCCACAGTGAAGAAGGGAAAGCCTGAGTTGAGGAAAAAAGGTACGCTGGACCAACCCCCTCATCATGATGGATGGAAGGGCTCACGCCTTCATTTAGTCATGCCCGCAGTCGTAGTCAGACAATCGAAACCTTGGAGGCGGCCGGATGGTATCTACCTGTACTTCGAAGACAACGCCGGTGTCATCGTGAATCCGAAGGGCGAAATGAAGGGTAGCGCCATCACAGGGCCGGTGGGCAAGGAGGCTGCTGAATTATGGCCTAGAATTGCCAGCAACAGTGGTGTCGTCATGTGAAGAGGAAGGATTGCTGAACATAGGAGTCACGTTTGCGCCAAGGACAAGATTCAAAAAGCATGTCCTGGATTGCGAGAGGGGGAAGACGGCTATCCTTTTGCCTCGTCGGCGGAAGTTGAGACGATACCGCAGGACACTTTGTCATGAGCGACGGGCCACGAACAATGAATCCTAGAGAATGCAGACAATATGTGGTTGGCGAGCCGAGAATCATACGGTCCACCCTGCATAGAAGTTTGTCCCCCAAGGGCCCATCTGTGCATCGATTGAGCATCAAGGGGATAGCATCATCCAAAGAGAATTAAAATCTTTCACCGAGGGGGCCGGGATAGGATTGGTAGAGAAATGCATGTGTGAACACATTCGCATGCGCGCTTGATACGGCCCAACTAGTCGACGAGAAAACTGGGATTCCCTGCTGAATTGTTGAATTGAGCATTGGCTGCAATTGGAGAGAAGACTGCCCATCGAGCCATGGATGTCGCGGGGGAGCTGAAATGTAGCCCTAATTCAAGGTACCAGGCCTCGAAGATGCTCTTTGCACGTGGCGAGGGCTAGAAGACCACGCTGAGGCTTGTAAACTGCGCCCAGTCACTTCCTAGGTTCTGGCCGCCGCTTTGACTAGGCCACGCTCATTCCTCAAGGACGCACTTCCGTGCCGGGAGTTTGGTTCTCGAATCAAATTGAAGACTGTTGTCTAGCTGCATCTAGTCTCACTCACCCATCAAAATCACGCATTCAAGCCCTGAGGAACGGACGAATGCAGCAGCCAAAGGCTAGATCAGCAGAATGAGCACCCAGAAAGGCAAGAGCAGTTGCGGCTCCGCCTGATCACAAGGACCAATTCAACCAAGTCCATATTTTCACCATGCCTGGCAGTCTGGAGAGGTCAGGCTTTGGGACTTCCCGGCGGCTTGGATGTGATAGGTATCGTTCGGGCTCCAGCTGTCATGCCATTCTGCAGCAGTGAAACAAACTGATGGTTCGACACAGAAAACAAGAGAGTGGCCGGTTGCGCGGAGCCTGATACCTTTCTGTTCAGCTGCGTCTTGTCTAATACTATCGGTTCTGCTTGACAGTCTCAGAGGCCCCAGAAACCGGGGACGAGGGCTTGTCTTGGCTAGTCCAGAGCACACGCTCTGAGGGGTTTGAATCGACCCCGCTCTCTCACGCGATGGAGGTCATTCGGTGGCTTGCTGTGATGAATAGAGGCTAACTTAGACAGGCCCTTTCAAACCCACCGACTGGGCTGGCAGCATTCGCGACTCCTCTCTCAGCCTGAAGCCGTCGCCTTTGACAACCCATGCCATTTGCAAGCACTACTTCTTTTTCCTCAACCCTCCCCTTGCGGCTAGCCACCCCCCCACAACCCTACCAAGGAGCCATTCGAAGAAATATCTAAGCAGGGCAGAGTTTGGCCGTCATCTCGAATCGAAGTCGATCACAATGGAGGTTTGCGATCGGCGAGGATCTGGAGGACCTAAGCGAGGAGCAAGAAGAGTCGAACTTTGAGCGCTCCCAAAGCCCACACTAGCTGGGCGCGCAGTGGGGCCAGACCAGTCCAGATTCCCTGCTACAACCGAGCAGCTCCAGGGTGCCCACAGGGGCCAGAAAGGCCAGTGTCCTTCGTGGAATCAAGGAAAGTTTGACAAAGTTAGTTGCTTGAAGAGGCTTCAACTCATGGATCCTGTTGGCCCCCGACCCCGCGTCTGCAGAGCTGGTCGCAGTCTATCCCAACAGCAGCAAAACCTTTCCGCATGATTTGGAGGGCAGTCTGCAGGTGCGGTGTGGTCGATGGCATTTGACATGCTCCCATGCGCGGACTTTCAAGCTTGGAACAGGAATGCGCCAGGCATATCAAGCCTCACACCATGTGAATTTACCTTTTCGGCTCCAAATGGTCAGTCCACTGCCAAATGGACGACATCCTGGTACAGCGCAGCCATTGGAAGGAGTTCTATAACGCAATCAATAACAAATTGCACCGACGGCCGAAGGCGAAGGGATATGCCAGACTGGCGCCAGCACTCCGTCCCGTCATAAACCCCGCCTCACAGATTATTGTTTATGGATTTCACTCTGTGGGCGTTGGTCTGCCCGTCTGCCTCCGGATTGGGTATGCGCCTGGGATTCAGTGGAGCTTCTTAACCCCAGAATGTTCGCCCCGTTTCATACAGAGAAGCCGTCAGGTGAATCCAGTAGCGACTTCAACAACGCTTCACATCCTGGGTCTCAGTGCCATTTTTCAAGTTATCTATCCATCTAACGATCCAGAATGACATCAGTACGGACGCGAGCAGAATGGTCAGCCTCAAAATCGCCCTTGAGGCTCACCGCCAAACGCTGCGCCATGTAGCCTAATAGAGAAGAACGAGAGTAATCAGGGAGGGGTCAAAGGGTTTCGAGGCTATTGTCAAATGGGCTCAAATCGGCTTCTGCAGGGACTACGAGGTCGACCCCAAGAGCTCAAAAACTCAAGCGTTCGGGCTTAGTCCAATCAGGAGCACCACGCCAACTCGACAGACAAACCATTCCTCAGCAGTTGCCCCTTTTAGTCGCCTCAGTGGATGATTTCTTCTGTCGGACCGGGAGCCACGAGGCCTTCAGCTGGCCTTGGCATGCGCTTCCCAGCCAAGCCCCGGTGACTTCTTCATCTTTTTGTCGAGCTCTATTATTACTATTGCCCTGGACAAGACATGCAGCCTGCCATGCTTGACAGGGCTGCAGATGGCCCATGCGCTCCGAAATCTACTCGTCTCTCCAAAGAGAGGTACCCACCCTTCGCAGCATCATGCATCATGTTGCATGGCCAGTCATCTTTTTCTAGCGTCAGGCTGATGCTCTGTGCGCTCATCTCATCCCATCCAGCCAGATTCGATCCATCAGACTGGTTCCCAAACACGAGAGAAATACCCGGTTCTAGTACTCGGTGGGGGCTATCCATCCCCGGACCCAAAGACTTTGCAAGTCAGCCTGGAGATCGCCCCTTCATCCCAGCATTGTGACTGCCCCAAGACTATGCAACCCTCTCTTCCGGCTTCCAGAGTTTTGGCTCATGGTCTCTGAGATTCCCGACGGTGCCACTATGTTATTATGTGGAAGCTAAAACTCGGCGAACATGCTCCGTCAGACCAATGCCCCCCTCCCCCCAAAAGTGATTCGATCCTAACCTGATTCCCATGTTCTAGTTTCGCACAGGGTCATCTCTCAAGCTGGTGGGAGGGGGTGAGAAAAAAAACCTTCCAAGGTGCTCCTAGTCACATTAGGCCAAGCCCAGGGAGTGGCATCTGCACGGCGACCCGCGGGTAGCCTCTGATTCCCTCCACCTCTGAGAGGTGGCATCCACTGAACAGTTGGGAATTCGTTGCTGGTCTGTTGTCTGCTGGCTCCGTGAGTCCGGCAAGACCAATCGTCGTTGGTACGGCCGCTTTCAACTTCCACTTCCGCTTGCCCAACCGAACATTCCCAAAGTTCAACAGCCCAGAGACAAAGGCTGATGGGAAATGCCGCCAGGAATCGAGGCTGAGTCGTCGGCTTCCCATTGCCTGACGCTTTTGAACTACAGCTCCACGCGTTGCAGTAGCTTTGGAGACCGAAATGCCTGCATGTCGCGACCAAGAGTCCTATTCCAAGCCTCGAATTCGTACTTACTGGCCATGACACCTCGTGGCAACCCAGATTCTCCCTTCCTCCTCTCCACCACGTCTTAGGTTCAGCACTGCATCTATTATGTGACACTCCATACTCCTGGTCCCTGCTGACAATCGGGTCCGCGAATGACGGATCTTGAACCAAACCTTGTCATACGAGCAACCACTTCGTTTTGTCTGTCTTCCTGTTCGATACCATTTCCCCTGCTCTGCGGATTTTTCAAGGCCAACTTCTTGTGGGGTCGAATTTACTTCAGCCTTGCCCTTTAATACGAGAACATTTCCTCTAGCCTAGCACTATGTTTCTCGATCACACGTTTCACATATAACTTCAAAGATCACAAAAGTTCATCGCGTGAAGCAAGAGCTTTGACTGTTGCAGAACGTTCAGGACCCCTTCGCCGTCCAGTTCCCATTTCTTGGCGTCCCTGATCAGAAAGGACGAGGAGCACTTGGACTGGGGAGAGACACAGGTAGTGCTAGAAGCCCCAAACCAACACAGGGTCTTTCAATCTGGCTCGAAGAATGGCCGGACCTGGAGGTGGCCCGCCTCGTAAGAGTCATACGAAGTCGAGAAAGGGCTGCAAGACCTGCAAGAGGCGGCACATTCGCTGTGACGAAACGTTTCCACAATGTCGGAATTGCACGAAACACAACTGTCGTTGCGACTATATGGATATGCAAGCAGCCGGAGAGGAACCTATGAAGGGCACGAAACCACCAGATCTCTTGATGTCTCCTGAACTCCAACGCCGACTTGACAACTGGCGGATAACCGGCGAGTCTCCTTTGCAGGAGCTAAGAGTTCCTGACAGGATATATTGGACACGATTTTCGACAATTGATTTGCGCCTTGTTCACCATATTACCACGTTATCGACCGATATGTACAATCGAGGATACAGCACCTGCACGCCGTGGGGTTTCAAAATGCCTTCGTACGGTAGTTCGTATCGTTCGGGATGACATTTAGCTAATCTCTGCTTAGACTGATCTCGGCTGCTTTATCGCATGACTTCGTAATGAGTGCCTTGCTTGCGTTGTCGGCATCACATCTCGCATGGCAGACGAAGAACACAGACACGGAGAATCTAGCGTACCACCATCGGGGGGTAGCCATCAAAGGTCTCCACGAAGCAATCGGGGCATTTTCGAGAGAAAATTCCGAAGCCATTCTTGCTGCCTCGATTCTTCTCTCGTGGCAAGCAACGGACTGGTGAGATTAATGTCGCCCACCTCTACAACAGCTAACACTTGGCAGGCGCGGCTGGGCATCACTACAACAGGGAGTATCGACTGTATGTCATGGGGGATCGTTTTGCAAGTAAGGGTCACTGACATTTTGCAGGTCTTGGGCGCGATGAGGGCGTGGATACACGAATCGGATCTGGTAAGATACCTGGAGAACCAGAGAACCATGGTGAGGGCAAGAACGCCTGCCACTCCCACGATGCCGCACACTCAAACTTCTATCCCCCATGAAGACCTTCGCAGAATAGAACAAATCACCACGGCTCTCCATAATTTGAGACTGCGGCTTTCGACAAACGAAGAGCTTCAAGAACATGCGGGTCGACTGGTTGATTACCTCCAGGACTTGCAACGGGACTTGTCAACCCAGGCGCCGGACAAAGCATTCAGCCGGTTACAGCCGCTACGGGACATGATCTTCTGGCTGCCACCGCAGGTGCTGCGCGGTACCGACACTGATCTAGCCGCATTAGCTCTGCTCTCGCATCTTTACGCAAGCGCACTTGCTGTTGAGCCACTGTTTCCGGACATTGGTGGCGGCTATCTTGGAAGCATGTCCCTCTTTCCACTGGAGAAACTTCATGACATATTGAGGGCAAGACGGGCGACGCAGCCTCAGGATGCAAACGTCCAAACGGCCTTGTCTCTTATGGACGTGCCAGTACAAATAATGACGTCGTACAAAATGAGGCAGAGACACAACAGCCAAGGGAGTCAGAGCGTCGAGGGCTATCACTATTCTCCTCAAGGGAGCCCCTATGCCGGGCCTCGCATGCCGATGGCTACTCCTACCTCAGACAGCTCAGCAGCACCCATCTACCCCAACTCGCCTTTACACGCGCCAGGCAGTCTATCGATACCGGGATCAGCATATTTCCAAGCGGCTCTTGGGCCTGGAGAAGGACGGCGAGAATCGTCGATATCATCGGCTTCATCGCTAGGGCGCGCTCACTCGATGAGTGACCGGAGTCTCGCCTCCAGCAGCCCACACACAATGGGGATGGTGTATGGGTCTCCAGCCACGCAACACCCTCGAAGCAGCCACGAGCTACCAGGGTCAAGAATGGACTACTTTGGGCAAACTCAAGCACCGTACAATCCCTACGGCAGCATGAACATGAATACTCGGTTCGTCGCTCCTTCACAGCTCTGGACTTGACGGACATCTTTCGACTGAGTATTCTTCTTCCCCACAGGACTCCTCCGGCCACGATGTCTCCGAGGATGCAGCAACAAGGGCAGCAAGGGCAGCAAGAGAAAGGAAAAGAGCGGCAACAGTGACGCGGGGAGGGGGTGGGCGACGATGACGTGAGACTGCGGATATCTAAGATGGTGTAATCCACGGCGGCTAGCGAGGCGCTGGAGTTAGGCCAGGCAAGAAACCAATGGGGAACAGAGAAGGCCGCAAGCCAAAGGAGTGAAGTCAACTTTGGAAGTAAGGGTTGGTAAAATACCATATATGGCGGAAAAAGTCTCAAACCGGTTTGGTCGTTGGCCCTCGGCGGTCATATCGGCAGGAAGGAGAAGAAGGTTCTCTTTACCCCGACGCAGGTGGATCATTTTGATTACGAAAGAGTCATTGCGTTCCTGGGAATGGGTTACCTGCATGCAGGTCGGTGTATTCAACGATCCGGTCTGATCCTTCGGTACCTTGCTTGCTTGCTGGTTCTATGCTGCGAGGAAAGGACTCGGGCTGCAAGGATGATGACTACCGCATCTATATTGGCAGGAGGCCCTGCCAGGCCAGCTTTCGTCTGTGGCTCAACGAGTGGGTTGACGCATACCAACCGATACAATACATGCCAAGTTGAAGGATGAGCAACACGGTCTCGTGAAGGTCGTTATTGGCAACATGCTCGTATTCGTGTATAATTTGGGAACAACGGGCGCATCCGTCCATTAGACTATTTTCCCGCGCGCTCGAAAAACCATATGACTCATACCGATGCTGTATTACATATGCTCGTGTCGACATAGAGGGCTGAATACGTCTGGGGTAAGTCATAGCGTACGATGAAACCCAAGCCCCTGGTCCCCGAGATACGACCGACCAGCTCGGAACGCGAGGACGGCGCCTGCGCCCTCCGATGTTGAGCTTCAACAGTGAACACGACGTTCCACGTGGCGAGGGTGGTAGCCAGAACGATAAAGCGAAAGCTTAAAGCGCATATAAGCAGAACAACTACTGGTATAGGTCAAGGACGGTCTCGTGGCAAGAAGCCTGCAGAGTTACAAATCAAGCACAAGATCAAATGTCGCATCGAGTCGCCAGCTCTGGACATGTCGGTCTTGGTCTCATCTGCTGCAGGGACAACTTGTATACTCGTCTGACTCCAAGTATAGCCCTGAAACGGGATAGATCAGTCTGAACGGACATAGTATTGCTACGTACGAGAAGGAAGGAACCATGGAGAAAGGAACGGAAATGCCAAAAGACCCACGGGTATGGATCGACCTGCCTTTGTTCAATCAACCCCACGTATTGAAACAGGCGGGGGAGGGAAGGGAAGGCAAGGTAAGAGGAGCAAAGTCCCGGCTGCAAGGTTCATGGTGCATTGCCAGGGCCAATGTTTACAGAAGATATGACACAATAACCCGAAAGCCAATGAAAACATGTCTGCCTTTACTTGTATTTGATCAGGCACAAAGGAGGATTCACAGGCATTGTAAGCAGCTCGGGCATGCAGTGGGCGATGGCCTTGGTAGAGTGATAAAGGCTCCTCCTGAGACAGGGGACCGACGAACGAGATGCGCAGGACCTGTTGCTCTTCTTGTCCTACCTACGCATCAAGTTACCTACCCTATATGTGCTCCCCATACAGGGACATCTGCAAGGGCGGCATACGGTAGGTAAAAGTTTGGCCCTGACCTTTGTCACTCGCTGGGCCTAGTAGCCCACCAGCCTAGTGAGCCTTACTTAGGTAGAGGCTAGGTCTCTAGCGGTGCCAATCTATGTACCTAAGGTATTTGCCTCAACGCCGATCTAGGCAAGCCTCATCAAAACCATCCCACTGGAGCCACTTGTGCCCCCTTGTGCCACCTACCTGCACCTACGTAGCGGGCTAGCTACCTCCACCACCCGCCTGCCCCATCGCCCGGTACCTGACAAACCTGCTGGAGCGCAGTTTGACCGTGCGCAACTGACCCCCACTTCGGATATTATTTGCCTACCTATACCGAGTACACAGATTCGTGCGTTGTCTAAGCACCGAACTAACCCATCGAGTGGACGGCGCAGGCTCGAATCTCTACCTAGGTAGCACCTGACCCTTCTGGTCGTCAGCGAGCCAGATGGCTGATGATGCCGCCAGTGGTGGTTGGAGCACCATCGAATCCGACGAAGTAAGCCGACAACAAGGCTCCCTGCCCCAAGATGCGCGCTCGAGCTCAAGACCGCTCAGTCGTTGTACTCAAGATGGGATCGCTGACAAGCTGATGCGGGTTGCAGGGCGTCTTCACCTCTCTGATCGAACAGCTGGGAGTCAAGGACGTGCAGGTTGAAGAGCTGTTCTCACTGAATGCAGATTGGATCCGTGCTTTAAGGTAACAACGAAGATCACCCAAGGCCCCTCCCGTTTCCTTCCTCCCTGATTCCCGACCCTGTCGTTCTCGTTCGAAGCCAGCCATGCTGACATGAAAATGCGTCTGTGGACAGTCCTGTATACGGCGTCATCTTCCTCTTCAAGTGGATCGGGCAAGGGTCGGAAAGCAAGGGCACGCCTCAAGATGGCTCATACGATCGTGCCGCAGTCGAGGACGAGGGACTCTTCTTTGCGGCCCAGACCATCCAGAACGCCTGTGGCACCCAAGCCATTCTCTCGGTGGTTTTGAACAATGACAAGTCTGTCGAGGCGTCTTCGTCTGGTGCGGATGCGGCGACGGGGGCAAGAATTGATATCGGACCGGCGCTACAAGAGTTCAAGGACTTCACGACGGGGTTCGATGCAGGGCTCAGGGGAGAGTCGCTCTCAAACTCGGAAATGATCCGAACTGTTCACAACAGCTTTGCAAAGTCTAGTCCATTTGTTGACGAGACGCTGCGTGACCCCAGTGCGGGATCCGAGGACGTCTTCCACTTTATTGCTTACACACGTTATCACGGCAAATTGTATGAACTCGATGGACTCCAACCCTACCCGATCTCACACGGCGACTGCACCGATGACGAATTCCCGGACAAGATCATCTCTGTGCTACAGAGAAGGATTGCCAGATACCCAGAAGATGAGATCCGCTTCAACCTCATGGTCGTGTGCCAAGACCAGAGGATCAAGTGGCGCGACCTCGACGAACCCGACATGCTCGCCGAAGAGGAACGAAAGCGAGCCAAGTGGGATTTTGAGAATGCGCTCCGGCGGCATAACTTTGTGCGATTTACGGATGAGGTGCTCAAGGGAGTGGTCAAGATGAAGATCAAGGACGGATCCTATGATGCCTGGATAGAGGGGGCCAAAAAGGCGACGGAGAAGCGGGTGAGGGAGCGACGGAACCAAGCTGAGGGCTGATGTCCATGAAATCGCCTATATTTATGATGGAGGGGATCTAATGACGGCGGCTCTTTGCAGGAGGGTTGCGGCTAGTCGATGCCTTGAGATGGGTAGACAAAGAGCCTATATGCAGACCTGCCATCAACTACTCGAGACAGCACGTTAATCACCTGAAGACGTGCTTGTCGCTCTTTCCTCTCCGAGAATGTTGCCACGCACGCACCTATAGTAGGGGTCTTTCTGTGCTCGATGGAGATGCTCTGTATACTCGGTCCTCCGCACTCTGCACACAAAAAGGAGAGAAAAATTTTGACAGTTGGATGCCAAGGCCGCCCAAATGCAGCGCCGGTGCTGATTGGCCGGGCAGGAATGGTCCAAACGGCGTGCTGTGATTGGGCCGGCCGGCCCAATACCTAAGTGCTCATCAGCCACGGATGGATCCTGGCCACCTCCCACGAGAAGCACTCAAAGCGCTCCTGCCGGACCTCCTGTGCCTCCCATTCTATTCAGATTGTTGTTGTTGTTGTTTTGAATAGTCGCTTCATTCATCTAGATCGACCCTTAGCCATTGTTTGGGCATCACTGATTGCCTCGCATAATCTCAGTGGCGCGCTACCTCTCTTCCCAACTACTACCCTTTTGCTTTCCGCCCGAACCATCCTTTTTCTCCCATTCCATCCGCTCGTCCACGGCACCCACGACTTCATTTATCCCTCATCACCTAGATGGAAAGTAATCTTGCGCTTCTCTCTCGTCACCATTCTCACTGTCCATCATGTCAGCCCATGAAATTGACACTTTGTGGCGCTCCGCCTTTGGCGAGTCAGCTATCCGCCCCCTGCCCTACAGTTCAGAAGAGCTGGGCGACGATGGATGGCGACCACTAACTGACCCGCAAAAATTCATCATGAATCTGGCAAATCTCAATCAGCAGCAACTCTATGCCGCGAGTGCCAACAACCAACTCGCCATGCTAGACGCCCAGACCGAATACCTGAAGCTGGAGCGCCACATCGCGAACATCAAGGGCAAAGAAACCATCAAAAATCCTCGAAATCTCCCCGCACCGGATGTCTTTGAGGAACGGAAAGAAGCTGCGTTGTACGGCTACAAGTATGACGCGAATCGCCCTGCTCTCCTTCATGCTGGTATTCCCGGTCTGAGGTCCGCCGATGATCTGACGGACAGAGAAAAGCATGATGTGCGCTTCTTCCAGGAGCCATTCGAGCAAGGCGGCTTTGTGCCCAAGGAACGGGAGTACAGAGCCAAAGTTGCCAAGGCCAAAGATCCAAAGAACGTCGACGGCTGGAACCCCATCGAGAGAGATGGCAAACGACTCATTCCCCGACAACAAACTCACCATGAAGAGTACAACATCACATATGTTAAGCGCAATGTGGATGAGAATGGTGAGATCATTCGACCTCAGTCTCCCGAAGGCAGCGAAGTCCCCGGCGAATCCCCAGACAAGGCCGTCAACAAACGCTTGACCAGAACCCGCTTCGATGGCAAGAAGTTTCCGCCCACACGAGACGTGTCGGAGGCTCCATCGGCAGCTTCTACTCCAAGCGGCAGAAAGCGTGTCAGCCCCTCAGGACTTGATACCCGAGAAGATACGCCCAATTCAAAACGCCGGAAAATTCAGCTCACTGTTAATGGTGCAGAACAGCCC